AAACAGTTTTTATTTATTATTTTCTGTTTATTCTGCTTTTTTTTAATTTGGTGTTGCTTTTGAGCACTTGCAATTAGTGAAGTCTTTATTTTTATGTTTTTAATACTAAATGCACATTAAAATACATATAAAGTATATGACTGATGTAATAAATGTATAGAAATTATTTCTTTAAATTACAGCAACAATTTGAATAACTTTTTGTTTGACAAAATCAGAAATAAGTATAAATAACTTTGTGAAATATACCGCGTATCGTATAAATCAAATCGATATGGATACTGCTAGCGCCATCTTGCATTCAGTTTTAAAACACAAGTCCTAATTAATACATAAATTAATCGGATTTTATTGATGTTGGCGTCATCTAACGGCGATGGCTTTAAATGCAGGTGTTGTTAAGAAAGGTTGTTTGTTTAAAAAATTTTAAATTTAAATTCGAAAACAAAAACAAATTAATAGATAATTCACATGCAATGTATTTTGGAAATCCACTGCGCATGTTTTATGTAAATAACTCGTGAAATAATGTTAACACTAACATATGAGATCGTATAATAGCTTGATGAATCATCCCCTTAGCAAATCGATATCTCTAACGTGACCCTCCATTCATGCCGAAACTCACCCTCGCAAAAGTACAAAATCAACATGCTGCCAGAGCACGATTTCAGCCAAAGTTTTCATGATATGTACCGAGTTTATTCGGAAAATTTAAAGTGCGTATCAACCCGTCTAAAATGTTTAATTTTAAGAACGTGTTAACCGGTACAAGTGTTATTGTTGTTTCAGGAAAAGGCGAGACCTTAAGAAGGAGCGGAAAAAATGTACTAAAATCAAACAGAAGTCAAAGTTTGAGCTCTCGTGCGACAATGATTTCCATTCTCCGCCAGAAATCGAATTGCCAAACAATCCATCAGCTTTTGCCGTGTATGCTTCGGTACGTTTGGCGGTACTCGACCGATGGATGCGGCAAGCAAATCAAGAATATCTTCAGAGCAGCTGTGTGGCCACTTTACACGATCGCAATAACGAAATGGACAGCGATACAGAAGATAATTCTCAAACAAGTTCCACTTATGTACCGGTTAAAGTTTCCAAAATAGTCGGTTTTGGACTAAGATCAGTTTTTGAACTTATAAAAGAAAGCAGATCCTCGCATCCTTCTCTTTGTTCAAAAGCTCTTTCGGCACTTTTAGATGTTCTGCAAGGACAATGTCCTGAAGGGTTGAAATCCGAGCCAGTCGAGGTAATTGATCCTCTTTTCGAACTTCTACTTGATTTAGCTACATTACACGGACCAGAGAGTTCTGTAGCAAATGACGGAACTCATCTGACAGCAATAGCATGTTCCTGTTTATTGTCTTTAGTCGTGGTAAGAGGAAACACTGGAAAATTCTTATCTGCCACAGCAGCACTCTTGATGTGTCCAAGAGCACTTGCACTTCAAAATGTAAAAGTGAGTATCTAACGATTCTAAACTTGGGCTTAAGCAATGTCTTTGGTATGGGAATCCTAAATGCCAAACCATTTTTATTGCAAAACTATCTTTTCTTGATTTACTAATGGATGTTAACGATTTAGAGTCGTACATTTACTTATCTTGATCTAAAATCAAAAGCATCAAAAGTCATGCAATATGAAGGAAAGTATAATATAGCAGAAACTTTCTTTTTGTTGTTATTGATAAGGAGTAGTAAATAAAAATTCTTTGAGCGTCATGTCGCAACAATATGGAGGGGCATAAATTGGGCTCTGGTCTAATTGACCCACTCTGTAGCTCTAACGATATTTTGATGACATTTTGTTGTTTGGGTAAACTTTGGATATGAACATAGTCTCAAAGAATTACTATAAGTTTTACTGTATAAGTTAATGAAAACCATGACAGAGGCTTGTAAGCTACTTAAGTAAATTTTTTCAAACAGTATTTGTTTGAGTTGAATTTGCTTTTGATAACGTATGTGGCGGAATCCCGCCGAAGGCTCTTTTGCTTACATACTTCAATATTAAAAGACTGCTTTTCTATATACAATTTATTTACACTATTTACACAAAATGATTGGGTTTGTACTATACACAAGGTAACTTAAAATTGAATTAAAAAAATTCTTGGCATTTACTTGCATTGAATCAATTTTAGGCCTTGAATAAAATTTGACTTTAATTGGTGTAGTTCAACTGGAATCTCTATTGAATTTTGTTGTCCAGGACTTAAATAGTCTGCACAAAAACAGGAAACGACCATAGAAAGTAAAACGGACCCCTTGGTCAACGCTTTGGTTGTTGCTATGCACCCTTCAGGTACCCAGAGAAAGCCAGACGTGACGTAGTTAGCGAATGAGATTTTCCCAACGTTTGATACCTGAAGGGTGTAATATAGAGGCCCCAAAGCTGTTTGTATGCCCAATTGGATGTTAAATATTGGTAACAGAAATCATAACATACAGATATATACGAAAAATAAATACAAACTAAAACCACGATTGAAAATATACAAATAAGGAAACATATCGACACCGAACACTGCTTTTTTTTCTTGTTTTGTGGATGCTCCGATATTTTCACTAAATTATTTTCGTAGATGCCAGCTGTTTTAACATCTTTACAACGAAGTATCCAAAGTGTGTTATTGGGAAAGGTTGCAAGACCTGATTGGTTAACTTGTGGTGTTCCCAACAATTCAAAAATTGATAGTTTTATTGCAGCAATCCCCTCTGAAGTTCATAGTTCGCCCCTCGCCTTAAAATCTCTTGCCAGTGATGGACAGTACCTGTATTTATTTACCAACAAAGGACTGTTCAAAATTGGTTCGGGCTATGGAGGAACTATAAAGGGACACGTTTATTTTTATAAACCGGATTTTTATCCAAACGATAAAGGAACACTTGTATTTTGTGGGGTAAGGGTTACATTTGATAATAAAAAACGTATTATAAAGCTTATTTTTATTTTTATTTTTGTAGTTCACATTTGTATTGCAGTTATTTAATTAAACAGTTTTTATTTATTATTTTCTATTTATTCTGCTTTTTTTTAATTTGGTGTTGCTTTTGAGCACTTGCAATTAGTGAAGTCTTTATTTTTATGTTTTTAATACTAAATGCACATTAAAATACATATATGAACCTAAACAATAAATCTATAACAATAAATTATTGTTAACATACTAAACTAATGCCACCTAAATAAATTATATGATTATAATTAAATGAAGTCAACTGCATAATGAATTTTTTAGTTAAAGAAAATAATTTATACTTTGAAACGAAACGATAAATTTCTATTTTAAATGCTTTTGGTTAATTAATTTAATAGAAACCAGTTAAAACGACAACGATTGTATAAATTGAAATTAATAATTGTTAATTGCAGTTTCGTTTTCCAAATGTAATAAACATTTATATACATGCTTGATATACAGTAAAGATGAAACAAATCATTTTAAATTAGTATTTAACCACAAATTTGAAGTATTTTCTTCATTTAATACAATTGGGAATTAAATTAAACTTTATCGAAATGCGAGTCTAATCAAAAATTACTGATCAAAGGAGTCTAAAATGGCAAACCAAAATCCGAAAATCAAACCACTTGAGGCTGTAGTAAAAAAAAATCAATAAATATATTACAAAAAAGTCAACAGATTGCGATTTCGGTCTTATTAGATCTCATCAGCACGCCATAGGCAGTCTCTACGAACCACTGATCAAGTCGATATAATAATGTAAGACAGGCCTTTTCCTTGAATGTCAGAAACTTTTTTAGAATCCCAAGAATATTTACCTCACGGTTAATAATCAAAAAATTTCTTAAGGAACAATAAAGTGATTTATGTAAGGAATAATAATTGTTTAAAAGTTTCTCCTTATCTCATTCCATTTTTCCATTATCCAATTTTAATATTCTGCAAATATTTCGACCTCCCAAGTCTTTGTCATTGTAACTCGTGTTGACAAAGACTTATTTAGTCGATCACAATCTAATGAATTTTAGTTTCCCTGAGTTTACAATTTGATTCAGTTCTCTTTCTGGATAATTATTAGAAAAATATGTGTAACAATTCGTTAAACGATTGACAAAAATATTAAATACATGTTCCATCCACTAGGAAAATCTATATCTAAAGTTAATTGGAAGAAGAGGTGGAGAATTCCTAACAGTAGAAAGACAAGGTTTACTCATTTGTGGCTCACTCCCTTTACACAGCCGAGACTCCGTTAGTTCCGTTATTTTTTCTGACGGAGAATATTTAGGTACCATTTCTCCTACCAAAGACGTGAGTACCAACCACTTAAATTAACCAAATTCAGTTACCAAACTATTCGACTATTTAAGGATGGTTTTGTGGTAAGAACACTGAATCCGAATTCCATACCAGCATCCCTAGTGAACGAACTTCCCTTAAAATTAGCCCATAGATGTGTGGAAATTCTTGGAACTGCTCCATTTGAAGAAGATGGCGCTTCTCAAGTAGTTAACACTGGAACTGATGATGAAATTGCGTCTATCTGCGCAGGAAAAGAATTTGGATTGATTAGGACTTCGTCAGGAAAAGTATAACTTTATATGTTTAATGATGGCATTGGAATTGTTTTAAATTTTATTTCTGTAATAAGGTTTTGTACTGCGGTAAAGCTTCTTCGCTTGGTATTAAACAAACTCGTATAAGAAATGGGAAATGGTCTGAATTAGTTCTGACAAAGGCACCCAAAGTGACACACGTTGCTGTGGGTCACGATGGTTTGCATGCTATTCTGTTGACTGAAGATGGATCCGTGTTTTTTGCAGGTATTTCATCAAGCTTCAAATATTTTTAAAAACCCTTGCAAGCTATGTACTTTTTATGTTTAATACTAAGATCCATCTGCTTATAAAAAACGTAAATGTTTTATGGGAAACACATCAAAATTAATGATGTAAATTACTTGTAATCATTAGCAATTTCTTCGAATTTCTTTTATATTCTAATGAAATATGATTGATAATATAGCCCAAGATAACAAAGATAAGATGGTTCATTTTCTTTTGCGAAAAACTTTTGAGTTTTTCTACGAAATAGTATTCATTGTCCTTTTCATCATCATCGTAAGGTCGTCAGTCCTAAGGCTGGTTGTACACGCACCTCCACTCCTACCTATTCTGAGCTAATCTTCGCATTTTTCTAAAACTAGAACAACCCACATCCTTAACTATTTGCGAACAATAATTTATTCTAGGTCTATCTATCTGCTTTATATCCCAATACTCCTTCCTAACGTACCTATCTGACTTCCTAAATACCTAAAATCAGCCACTTTTTCTAATTTTTCGTTTCCTATCTTTCTATTCGCTCTTTCCCTATTTTTTCTTCCCTTGCATACCAGTATTTTGTTTTACTTTTATTTTTTTTTCATACAATATTGTTTTGTCAACACCTCTTCCATTTTATTTAAAGCTATATCTAACTTCTCCCTGTTAGATGCTAATACTGCTATATCATCTGCAAATCTAAGCATACTAATTCCTACAGTTGTACCGTCTTTAATAAGGTTGATCGCGTCTTCTACAAACTAAGTATCACTCTTCAATCTCTGTAACTCATGCCTACATTTTTAAGTATGTTTAACATTTTATCCCATTTAACATTGTCAGAAGCTTTTTCTAAATATACGAATCCTATGTAAGCACTCTTTACTTTCTCTATCGTTTCTCTATTACTACCCGTAAAGCTAGAAAGGCTTAACAATATATAATAATTCAATTCAATAATTATGAAAATCTAACGCAAAGGAAATTATGCATATTTAGTTGCATGTCTTATTGTAATTTAGGGACTGCCAGGCGAGGTGAAGATGGAGACCAAAACAAAATTCGACGCCAACCAAAACCAACGAAACCAAAGAAAATGATAAAAGTCGACGGACATTTTGTAGTATACGCAGCTTGTAACAGCGGCTCGACAGCTCTTGTAACAAGAGATGGAGAACTTCTAATGTTTGGAAAAGACAACTCTCACACAGATCATTCTACAGGTTTCAAAAGCATTTCGCAATTTAACTAGGGGCACTATAAGAATTTTTTATGGTGTTTTAGGCTTAGTTTGTAACTTGAAAGGAGAATTTATAGTACAAGTTGCTTTAGGAAAAGCTCACGCGGTTGTCCTTACCAGCAAAGGACAGGTTTACACTTTTGGAATTAATAACAAGTATCAATGTGGAAGGGATTTTGTGGCAAGTGCTCGAGAAGGTACGAATAATAAGTTGCATTTTTTCGTCCTTGATAATTTAAGGACGCTGCAAGTAAATTCTTTTTGACTAGACGAAGACAATTTTATTGTACAAGTAGGTTTCATACCTGTACATCTTCTGATACATGTTTTCAATCCTAATAAACTTAGGAGCATGTAGATGGTATCATGCGAGCATATATCCTGCCATATCAAAAAGCTTCAAAGATGACAGCTAAGTTGGGCTTCAGAACAGTATAAGTTCTTGATCATTGTCATACTTGCCGTAGGTGAATTACTGCCGATTTATTTAGATTAACGTGAGAATTCTTATCCACCACAGCCACCTTGGGTGAGGGATTGTCATACGTTTAATCAGGGCACGAAGACTCAAGCTATCATTACCAGTTTTATCTAGGAGATGAACAATACCCCTGGAATTCTTTGGTGTGGACGTTCTTGTCTAATCGCTACCAGGCTTAGCAGGTTTAGCACCCTTGTGGATATACGCCGTTCACCCGTCAAGCTACATCTCCTCCCTCTCAGCGAGGGAGATGTACTTAACCATTACCACTATAAGTCCAACCTCAAACGGGCGGACAATCAGAAATATTTTCAACCTAGAGTTCCCGGGTCTCCCGTAGTACTAGTCAGATATTCGAGGGACTATTCTCCCTCTCAGTAAGATTCCTTACACTCCGGCACCGGTAAACTATTTAGGGTTTATTGGATCGTAACCTTTTTCTGACCCTTGACACGCTTGTTACATTGGCGAACCTCTTCCATACTTCTTTATTATAAGGATTCGACCTTTTCACTCATTTCGGGGAAGCAGTGCTGACAACCTTAGTTTTAAGGTCCACAGGCAGCCTCTGTAAATCGTCTTCTATATGAGATCCAATTGGATCGAAATCACAAGCCAAAATTATTGACCAAGAACTTATAATGTTCTTGTTAATTTGGTATCACATATATACTTCGCGTTGTCGATTCAATTGAAGACTTAAGTAAAGCCCTGCCTAACGTGAAATAGTCTGGTTAACGGCAGATATCAGTAGATGGCGATAAACTCTCATAAACAGATATTATATTAACTTGCTTGTTGAGTGAAGCTTTTTTTCACTTTTGTTTATGATTATTTCATACCAATATCTCCTTAAACAGGATATTTGAAATACATGAGGTTCAGGTTGTTTTTGATTATCATCTGACTTCGCCATTCGAAATTGTCGAAAGTACATCAGTTAATATATTAATACAGGTAATGCTTCCAATATCACTGCGATGGAGACTGGTGGAACTAGTCACGATGAGCAGGAAGTGTATGAGGACTTGGAGGAAGTTGTTAATCAGGAGGATGTAGAAAATAGGCCCAGCAGTTCGGATAGTAATAACGCAGAGTGTTCAAGTAGAGACCACATGTGTCCTCCGGGAGTTCATCAATGGAAGCACGACATGTGCATGGTGTGCACAGTCTGTAGAGAATGTACTGGCTATTCAATAAGCTGCTTATCATCGATGAGACCTGACAGGAAACCTGGACAGTAAGGAAGTTGTTAACTTTTTGGTAGACCGATTATAAGCACCAATTTTTCCAAATTCCTTTACCTAAAGTTGCGAATGTTTGACTCCCTCAAAAAGTTTGAGACTAAAGGGGTTCCACTCATTCCTAGCCTCCTCTCGACGGCCCTATTCATTGAATATTTCTTAAAAATAGTGGCAAAAAACACTTGAAGAAAGTTCACAATGATTTTATTTATTTTACTCTGCGTATATTTTACCTTGATAGAGTATATTATATTTTAATTTAATATTTCTTATCTCGTACGTACTCTAACTGTAATGCTAGACCATTGTTTAGAATTCGGATGAACACCGGTTCAATTCCGGGTCTGCTGTTGTGGCCTGGATCATTTAAGCAAATGGGGCAGTAATATTTTATAAATAAAGTCTTTTTGATCTCTTATGTCTGTCTGTCCATTACATTTGCCTCTCCTCAATCACCTCCCACCCGTTTCCACAATTCCCAAAAGGTTGAAGAAGGTCTTCCCCATATCTTTCGGATTTGCGTTAGATGGTATGATGGGAAGACTACCCGTCCACCAGCGTTAATAGCTGGTGGGAATGAAGTACACGCAAAAGTTTTTTTGTAGAGAATGCGGGTGTGGGGAAGGAGATAGTGGATGTGCCGTTTGTGGTTGTTGTCGTATATGCGCCCATGAAAATATCGATAATTCTGAATTGGCAATCCTTGGACCAAGTGGTGCAGCAGATTTATCAGGAATGATGAGACTCGACGTTATTTTTCGAGATAAAGTTAAGGAACTTCTACCTAGTCGACAAAAAGTCAAAATGCAAGATCCGGTAGGTGTAGACATGATTGAAATAAGGATTAAAATTTCTCTGTTCACATTTTTTTTTAAATGCTTAAATTAGGCAAGTGTATTAGATACCTGTCATTGCATTCCATGAAAATTTTTTGTTGTTTTTATATTAGATATATCAGTTGCAGACTAGAACGGATGATAGAAAAAGTAGAGGTAGAAAATCAATTGCAGGACCAAGTCGTCAGATTATGCCGAAGTTGAAATCAATAAGATCGTCCCCTGTTCTTATGCCTATTCCAAGTACACCAGTACATCGAGCAAATCCCACTGCAGCTGCCACAAGGCAAAATAGTTTAACTGGTAAATATTGGATTGATTTAATTGTCACTCTGTAATAATCTAATAATCTTAACGATAAACAAAAATAACACTACTTTGCTTATTATAGACCTTATTTTTTTAGCGTTAATGAAACGCACAATTAACTATAAAGGTATTTTTTAATACAAAGGCAGTTGTTCAGGTTGACATGTTGAATTCTGATCAAGGTTATTGTCGCAGAACTGTAGAGGAACTAACTATAATATTAAAGATGAAGTATTACCAAGTCTAAAAAGTAGGAGTTAATTGTTAGAAAGAAAAATAAGGGAGGATCTAGAAGTGGTTAAACTAAGTTAGGAAACTAACAAGAAGGTTGTGAAATCTGGAATAATTATTACTCAGAAATACAGCGAAAGGACGTAAATCCAAAAGTACCGAAGTAATCTATCATGAAAATGTAATTAAGGAGTTAGAATATTAGACGTCATGCGGCTAGCAACTGAAACTGAAATGTTATCAGGTTTTTAGTGAAGTATAGAAATGTGAACAAAAGAAATTACATTAGAGTATAGAACAGTAATGAAAGCCCTAGACAAAAACTTTCAGTCTCTCAGAGTCTTTCAGCGTCTCCGAGAGCATCTCTCACAGTCTTTCACAGTCTCTCAGTTATTGTCTAGGTGTTTTTATGGATCTCTCACAGTCTCTGTATGAGAGACTCGAACGATAAAATTGTTAATTTACAGATTCCAGTCTCTCGTTCAGAGATTTGAGTCTCTCGTTCAGAAACTGGATACGAAATGAGGATCTCTCTATGAACGACTCGAATCTCTCGTTCAGAGACGTTAAACAGTTTTTTGGAGTATCTCGACAGTCTCTCTCAGCGACACCTGAGAGACTCGATAAGAGACGGAGGCTCGAATCTCGCTTTCAGAGACTGAGAGACTGAACATTTTTATCTCGGGAGAACAAAAGGTAGGAATGTTTTTGTAAGAATGTGCATATTTACGAATAAACCAAATTTACCTGAACGTATTCAAAAGGATTATTTACAAAATTAAACATATATACATAAATACTAATATATATGGATNAATATGTACAAAATTTAATCAAAATGTAATGAAAGATAATATCGCCACATTTTCAAAATTCATTACTACAGATTTAGATAAATTGTAGATACCTATTGTCATTATCAAACGGATGATTTAAAAAAAAAAGAATAAATAATACACATGTGTAATATATAGGTATTTATTTATATTTATTTTAAGATTATCGCAGTTATTCAATGAATAAGCGGTAATTCCAAATTAAATATGAATAAATACCTACTACATTTGGTTGTTTCTATTAATTCCATTTGAATCATCCGTTTGATAATGATAATGCAGTTTGTCGAAACTATAGTAAGGAATTTTAAAACAAAAATGATAATAAAAATTATTCTGTTTTGATTGCCTACATCACAGCACACTGATGCAGTGGATGCTCAAACCTAACAGCTCTTACATTTTAATCAAATAATTTAGGATAATTACTTACTAGCTAGACAAAGTTGCTAACGTGATTTGGTAATATGGACCAACAATGTAAAGAATTCTCTTATTAAATAATAAATAATATCCAAGCAATTTAATCAAGTAAAAAAAAAACAATCTACGAGAAGTCACCTTAGATTTAACTACTACCAAAAGATCTCTTTCTGGTTGAAAAATTGTTTATCCAGTCTACTGCTGTTGGGGTTATAAAAGACCTCATTATCCCAGCAATTGAAGCGTTCAACGAAAGAAAAAATAACCATTAGGAATGTTTGCTAGCTTGACGCAATCAAACAATGAAGTTTTCTGAAACTGAATGATAAAAATAAATTAGTCAGATTTAAAGAACATTTATTTCACCACCCATTAAGAGAACTGAGTTGGGAAGTTATTGACATTAAAAATATGAAAAATAGAAAAATAGTAGAAAATAATCCCTATCTTAAAAAGTCGTGTTGTTGAAACTTCTAACCTAATGGCTTATTCAATTAACTTCTTCTTAGTAACGTGGTTCCAAATCATCACTTACTTTTTTCAAGTTGAGATATTACCTTAGAATGTTTTAATAAATGAACGATAATATAATTTGACTCCACTTCGGCGAAAATGTACATACTCATTGACGAATGATTAAAAATTGTAATAGTAACCTAATCATTACAATTTTCATCTACATGTTTATTTAATGGGTGGTTTCTCGTTATTTCGTCATTGTTTCCGTTGCTCAATGGCAAATACAAGATTTATGAACACGAGTATTTAATTTCAGGTAAAGATCAAACAGGATCCGACATTGAAAGGGACACAAACCGTATAACATCCCTTCCTCCAGCAAAAATTCAGTTACCATGTAACAGTCCCATTATTCAGATAGCTTGCGGTTTGCATCATAGCGTTCTCTTGTTACAAAATGGACAGGTAATGAATTCAATAACCATTTCTTCACTCTATATGTTACGTTTTATAACTTTTCTTTACAAGGTTTATAGCTTTGGATCAAATCAGTTTGGTCAGTTGGGATGTGGAGATATCCTTACAAAATCTAATATACAATTAGTCAGGCTTCCGTGCAGTGCAGTCCAAATTGCAGCAGGGAGCAACCACACTGTTGTTCTAACAGCAAAAGGGGAAGTTTACACTTTCGGCAATTATCAGGTCAAAAATTCTTGCAATCGCTTTCCACTTTCGTAAATCTAAAGGGTCGTTTATTTTTACAGAAGGGTCAACTAGGCAGATTTCCACCACCCACTTCTCCCCAAGATGTTAATCAACCTGGTCAAAGCCACGCTTCCAGATATCGTGATCTCAAATGTCCATGGTATGCAATACCAACACCTATACCCAACATAGGTTCCAGATACGGTCGAAGAGCGACATGGATTGGCGCTTCAGGAGATCAAACATTTTTAAAAATTGACGAGAGTCTCATCAATTCCGTCAGTTTAGCCAAATCAACAGTTACGGCCAACAAAAGTTGCATAGGTGAAAATCTACCAATTTTAATTAAAAAAAGCTTTACTATTTTAAAAATTATTGTATTTGTCAGTTCTTCTCCCTAATCAGCATGAAAACGGCACAAACTTCAAATGCCTTTTGATCAATAAAAGGG